TCTTGACGGTCGAATGTTGCCGCAAGCAGTTTTTTCTCCTGAACCCTCCAAACCATAAAAACCACCATCAACTATATTTTTATTCCCTTACCTCAGGAGTTTGTTTCACTGCTGGTCAGATTTGTGTTTAACGCTTTCCTTGACAATGCCTGTAAACGGGCATTAAATAAGATCATCATCATCATCATCATCATCATCATCATCATCATCATCATCATCATCATCATCATCATCATCATCATCATCATCATCATCATCATCATCATCATCATCATCATCATCATCATCATCATCATCATCATCATCATCATCATCATCCTCATCATCATCATCATCATCATCATCATCATCCTCATTTGCAACCGCATCTAAAGTACTGTGTTTTGCTATGTATGCAAATTGTAAAGGGTCGTAAAAACTGGAAGAAAAGGCTTTATAATATCTAGGGCAACTCTTTCAGCAAGCTTTGGAATTGTGGAGGAGCAGGCTATTGGAGAAGACGATTTAGGACCAAAATAAGCGGTTTTTTAGGGATGGGAGTGATTCTCACTGTACGCCAGGCGTCGGGAAATATTACACTCCATGAAAGACATATTCATTAGGTGCGTTAAATAGGGGTTATCTGAGAACTACAAGATTGAAGAAGAAAAAGCGAGACACCGTCCGGTCTGGCAGCTGTTGGTTTATGGACCTTTTTAAGGTGTTTCTCTACTGTTACCACAGACACAGGTTGGAATGTACATGGTGATAGGGGAATGTCATCTGAAGAAAGATGGCAGTCATTGCGACTAAAAATAAAATTTTTATTTAAGGAGCCTAAATCAGCATCCACATGTACCAGTTTGTTACGGTGGCAAGTGAGACGCTTAATTTAATTTAATTTAATTATTTCTATTAAAGACCCGTCGGGGTCCCATCAGAGCAAGTAAAATAAATTAACATGCGAATTTAAGACGAGGTAGGTAAAATCTGTACAAAGTGCAATACATAGTTTTTGAGATTAGAAGTCCGTTAAGCAAAATGATAAGCGGGGGGGGAAAAAAAACTCCATTTGAAAATTTAAAAATGATTGGATTAATTTAAGGGGAGAAAAAAACCGAAAAAATAGAATCAGAAAAATGCGGGCAAGACTGGCCTGCATTTGGCGGTATAGAATGGAATATAGTCGGACATCAACAGGGCCGAAATAAATGTCAGTTATATATGGCATTGTATAACGGATTTCATAAAGGGGTAAGTAGGCGGGTCGGTCAGGACTGGTCTTTATGTGGCCTTGAAAAAGACAAATAAGTGGCGAAATTGAAAACCAGTCTCGAGCTGATAGGAACCCAGATGGGGTCGGTTACATTCAACCGAGTCTATCCGAGGAAGGGGCAAGGGAGATGCGACCAGACTACTAGTATATGGCGAATACAGAAGGTTTCGCCAAGAGCATCGATGGTGCGCATTCTGTGAGGGTACGATGCATGAACTGAAAAATTGGAATAATTAACATTTCTGGTGAGGGATCTTAGGAAGCGTGACTACGCATAAAGGAAGGAAATGTAAACAGATACGGAAATTTAATGGCGGCATACTAAATTCCTGGTGGCCCTTTCTCAGCGTCATAGCAAAAGTTGTCTGGGAAGGATGAGGAAAATAAAAGTTTAATCGAGTCAGTATTCAGATAAAGGCGTAGCCTTTTCTTAAAGGTGTGTAGATTTTCTGAAGATCTTATATTAATTGGAAGGTTATTCCAGAGAGAAGTATATCTGGAAGCGAAAAAAGGGAGCGCTGAGAGATGGAGGACGCTGGAGGAGGTATTATCAGAGACGAATTGCGAAGATTGTATGGGCGAATACTAAGGGTAAATGCTGAAATCCGAGGAAAATTTGAATTATAATTAATGCGAAAGAGGAGACAGAAGCCCGCTTCTAGTCTTCGAACCCATACAAATTTTAGATTAATTACCTGGCATCTATCTGAATAGGAGATATTGGGATGTTCCTTGTCTAAAAGTTTTTTAAGAAAAACGTCTTTGGACATTTTCGATTTTTAAACGACTGGCTTCATTCATCAAACAAAAGAATGGGCAACAATACTCGAGAATGGGAAGATTCTTCCAAATCTCAGCAGAGGAAAGGGAGAAAGGGGGGGAGGAAGGAGAGGTAAAAAAGTTGGCTTACAAACAAGCTATTTAGCCTGTCAATTACTGTTTTTGATAAGACGGCAACATCCTGAGGGCTGTGACGTTAGAAGGAGACACCATCGCCGGGACAAGAGCTTTACTAGCCTGACGTTTCAGATTCCTGCTCGAATCCTTCATCAGAGCCAAAAAAGTATAAACGGGTAGTTGTTGCACAAGGGGCTGCGGTATTTATAGGATGCAGTAGCCATGCTACCGCATACCTATGAACATTCACGGCTCCCCCTTCATCCGGGATCGTTGCACGTGGTGTGATGACTGCTTGATGGCCGACATTCGAGTCGATAATTGCTGCAATTTCATCACGTGCGTTGGATGTTGGCGTGATGATTGCTCGACCATCTGACACATTGACCCCGGTGTTGGGAAAAGTGTTCACCTCTGCCCTCCCGCTTGACTTATTGCTCCGCCTAGGCGAAGTTTTAGCACGGAATATGGAATGGGAAGCTCGTTGCACTTGTTGATGGACTGGGGGTCAGTAAACAAAAAAAAACCAATACAGCCCGTTTGTGCACAACCGTTCAAAATCCTTAGACACGAGATAAGTTGAAATTCATTTATAACTGAAATATTTGACATATTTTTCTGTCGATTTTGCGTCGATTTTTATTAGCTGTCGAAAATAACACATAAATCCATTA